AGATTATTTCATAGAACAGGAATTAATAGTTTTTTCTTCCATTTGTCTTGCCTACTTGCTATTGGTGAGGAAAGAATAACTTTTGATTGGATCTAAGAGGTCAAGTGAAGTTAAATTGTAAATGTTCTTTTAGATATATTTAGATATATAGTTGTCTAACTTGTCCGTGGACTTTTTTAAAAAATCCTTTTTCATTATCTTTATAAAACTTTTTGGGTAAGCTGCATTAGTTATAGTAATACTTGCATTTGTTATTCTTATTATTAGTATATCTATCTAATTACAGGAAACAATAAATTATAGTTTCATCAAAGTTAAACTGGGTAATAACATCATCCTTAATTCTCTCATCTCTTGAAATTAAGGAAACTTTGGGATTGATGCTTAAGGACAATATTCAGAATGTAGACTACCTTTTGAGCCAAGTTAAAATTATAGTTACGGTTTTTCCCTCATGGTAGGATATGAAGAGGTTTGGCAAGCTTTATGTGTATATGTTGCTGTGTTGGGTAAGCGCTTCATTACTGATCTATGTCCACAGCCCAGATTTGGCAACTGTTTAATTTTAGAGGTCCTCTACCCCATAATGGAATAATTATGTCTACCTATGTAAAAGCTGACCTTTTTTTTTTTTTAAAGCTGACATTTTTGTGTGCTGGTTTTTCTTAGGGGAAAAGCCATATGTTTGTACAGTTCCTGGGTGTGACAAAAGGTTTACAGAATATTCTAGTTTGTACAAACACCACGTCGTTCACACTCACTCCAAACCATACAACTGTAATCACTGTGGTAAGACATACAAGCAGATCTCCACGCTGGCTATGCACAAACGGACAGCCCACAATGACACTGAGCCCATTGAGGAGGAGCAAGAAGCCTTCTTTGAGCCTCCCCCAGGTAAGGTCTTTGTCCATTATAGCTGTTTGAGAATCAAACAAGTATGAATATAATTTATGATTCATAACATTTTCTCAAATTAGAAAGTTTCTTTTCTGTACTCACACAAATTTACAATTTGTAACTGTGAAAAGTACTATTGAAGAAAGGTACTAGAGCTCTGGGTTGTGTTAAGAGAGGAACTTGGTTTTATCTGGGAAGGTGTAGGTTTCTCTGAGGAAATGGTGTTTGGAGAAAATCTAGAGGGTGAATCTTCATGTAGGCTAACTAGGTGAAAAAACGGGTTGGGGGAAGGGAAACAGCAAAGATGAGAACTTTCAAGTAAAAGGTATGATACTACAAAAAGCAGGAGGTTAGAGAGAGCAAAGTAAATTAAGAGATAGTGAAAGAAGCCTGATCAGGATGGTGGTTCTGCCTGGGAAGGTGGTGTGAAGTGAGGGTAGAGAATGAGGTAGGGGCAGCCTAATCATAAGATTAGAGAAGTACTCCAAATAATACTTCATTGATTTAAGTGCTGTTAGGTATATAGTAAGAAACAAAATAACTCATTTCAATGAGGAAAAAACTTTGAAAAAATATTTTATAGAATTATATTCAAGGCCGGGCACGGTGGCATTGCCTGCAATCCCAGTGGCTCAGGAGGTAGAGAGGCAGGAAGATTGCAAGTTCAAAGCCTGCTTAGCAAGGTACTTAGAAAGGTACTTAGCAACTCAGGGAGACCCTGTTTCTAAGTAAAATACAAAAAAGGACAGGGGATGTTGCCCAGTAGTTAAGTGCCCTTGAGTTCAATCCCCAGTACACACAAAAAAAAGTGTAGTTATAAGACTCTTACACTTTTTAAGCCCTTTATCTTTTTCTTCTCTCTTTTTTTTTTTTTTTTTTGGTGATACCAGGGATTAAACCTAGGGGTGCTCTTCCACTGACCATACCCCATTCCTTTTTCTTTTTTTGAGATAGGGTCAAGACAAATTGCCAAAACTGTCCTCAAACTTGAAATTCTGTCTCAGATTTCTGAATCCCTGGGCTTATATGCATGTATCACCATGCTCTGTCTTTTGATTATCTTTTTTTCTTTCTTTTTTAAAAATATTTTTTAGTTGTACATGGACACAGTGTCTTTATTTTGTTTATTGAGTTTTATGTGGTGCTGAGGATTGACACCAGTGCCTCAAATAAGGGAGGCAAGTGCTTTACTACTGAGCCACACCCCAGCCACCTTGATCCTTTCTTATATGTTGATATTTCATATTATTAAAAATTCCTTTTTTTCCCCCAGTACTGAGAATTGAATCTAGGAGGTACACTATCACTGAGCTGCATCTCCTGCCCTTTTTAAAATTTTGAGACAGGGCCTCCCTAAATTGCAGAGGCTGGCCTTGAACTTGTGATAACTTAGGTTTAAAAAAAAAAACTAAAATCTGGTGGGGCACAATGGCTAATCTCGGTAGCTCTGGAGGCTGAGGCAGAAGGATTCCAAGTTTAAGGCTAGCCTCAGCAACTAAGTGAGGCCCTAAGCAATTTAGGAGACCCTGTCTTAAAATAAAAAATAAAAAGGGTGGGGATGTTGCTCAGTGGTAAAGCACCCCTGGGTTCAATCTTCAGTACACAAAGAAAGAAGGGAAGGAAAGGGAGAAGGAGGAAGGAGAAAGGAAAAGAAAGAAAGGAGAGGAGAAAAACGCAAGAAAGGGGAGAATGCTTTTCTAAGAATAGGTATAAATTTGTTTTCTTTTCACATGGTTCCCTGGGTTTTGTAACCAGTTGGAATAATAGTATATATAAATATCTGTGGAACAGAAGAAAAAAGAGTGAAGTCATTACTGTCATGGAAATGGCACCTTGATGACTGTAGTCATGTGCTTGCATCAACTACGGACTTTCAGAAGACTTATAGATTACTTCTTTGTAGGGGAAAATTTTTTGCTCTCTTTCTTTTTCTTACTTCATGTGAAGTGGAAAATGTTGGAAGAATAGAGATCAGTAATCTCCCTAGTTGACAAGTATAGCAGTAATGACTTAAAATTGCTGTTTACTTGCTAGTGGTTTGCAAAATAAAGAAGTAGGGAGGTTGCTTTTGTTAACTTCTTAAATGATTAACTTCAACCCAGATAATGTGCCATTACATTGTCTTTACACAATGATGTCATTGTTTAATGATAACCTATAATCAGTCACTTGTGTTAAAGGCTAAATTAGTAGACAAGAGTTTGCAAAGTTTAGTAGTTTTGTGGTTTATGTTTATGAAGATTCTTTTATTACTTTTATGGTTTATTTTGTTTTGTGCTTTTTAGTTATACATGTATTTTGACATACAGACATGGAATATAACTTCCCATTCTTGTGGTTGTACCTGATGTGGAGTTACACTGGTCGTGTATTCATGTATATATGTGTGTACACACACACACACACACACACATAGTATATATTTTATTGTAGATGGACACAATGCCTTATTTTATTTATTTATTTTTATGTGGTACTGAGGATTGAACGAGTGCCTCACATGTGCTAGGCAAGTGCTCTACCACTGAGTTACAAACCCAGCCCCTGGTCATGTATTCATATATGAACATAGTTATATCCAATTCATTCTACTGTCTTTCTTATTCTCACCCTGCCCCCACCCCCAACTTGTATGGCTTCTTAAGTGACTTCAAGAACTTAGTGCATCCTTTTTGTATTGAAGGATTTTTTTCTAGTCTTTCTATAGAGTTTCTCCCTTCCCTTTCCCAACACATATGCACAATATCACACAATTATTCCAACTAAGATTTAAAAAGTGTGGGGCTGGAGTTGTGGCTCAGCGGTAGAGTGCTCGTCTCACGTGAGGGATCCTGGGTTCGATCCTCAGCACCATGTAAAAAATAAATGAGTGAAATAAAGGTATTGTGTCCAACTATAAAATAAATATTTTTTAAAAAAGATTTAAAAAGTGGTCCCCCAAAATTAAAACACTTAAATTTGATGGGAAAGGTTTGATGTGGTTTGATATGATTTGGTTTAGCTTTCAAAATGTAGAAGTGAAGGAAGTAGAAGGAGGTACCAGAAGCTTTCTTCATGATTTAGAATATACTATATATAAATTTTATATAATATTCTCTTTAACATTAAAATATTCTCAGTTTTCTAAACAGATTGATTAATTGGTCATAAAGGTTATTCTTTTTTTTTTTTTAAACAGGTCAAGGCGAAGATGTTCTTAAGGGGTCCCAGATCACATATGTTACAGGTGTAGAAGGAGATGATGTTGTATCCACACAAGTAGCCACAGTAACCCAGTCTGGGTTGAGTCAACAAGTTACACTCATATCCCAGGACGGGACCCAGCATGTAAGTGTCTATCAAAAGCTAGTCAAGTTAAATCATATTTCTCTTCAACCGTTTTTGAAAAGACAGTCCAGGTCCTCATTGAAGAATTTCCTTGGAATATTCCTTGGAATATAAAGGAATAAAGATTGGATTTCAGTCTGTAGGCAGGCAGTAACATATCTCCTAAAAGTTCTCCATAGGCTACTGAAAGAGATTACATGAAGTGAGTTTAGTAGGGAGAGAATGTTTATGTCCCTGTAGAATTCATATGGTGTGTTACTGGTATCACTCAAAGGTGAAGGGTAATGAAGGTCAGAACCACAGGGAAACTGAGGGCTTGAAAAGTATCCATGTGAAACATAGATCTGAGAAGGGATAGATTTGGTGGCTAATTAGGTCCAAGAGATGAGGTTTGAGAAAACAGCAGAGCCTTGACTGAGGTGATCAGGATATGATGGACTCAATAAAAGATCCTGGGAAATAAATGACAGGCAAACCTATGAAATTTCCAAACTGTGGCACTCTTCCTTTCTAGGAATCATGGAAGTTTACTCAACTAACTCCACAGAGTTAATAAAGCAAATATTTTGATTTCCTCCAGAAAATGCACAGTTTAATGGCTGTTCTCTAAAAGCTAAACTTGTCATTGTTTTCTAGATTCTGCTAGCTTAAAATAATTTAACTTTGATTTTATTTTTGAGTTCTAATTAAGATTTTCTTAGTACCTTTAAAATCAGGAATGTTGGGGTATAATGTGTTTTTTTATCTGTCTCTTCCAAGGATGAATCTCTCCTTACTCATCTCTCTTGGACTTTTACCTTCCATAATTAATCTGCCTTTTTAACAAATTGATAACTATTAACATGCCTATATTAGTTAGGTGGCAGAACCCATTCAGGATCAAATAATACAAAGCATTCATACCATCACATGCTTGCATCCCCAGCCCCCACTTTGACATTGTGAATTCTGCACAGTACTCTGCCCACTGACTGGCATGCAAGAAAGATTAAACATATTTACTTAACCTAATTTTAATTCATTAGCTCTAAAACTTTCTCTTGAATCAGATCATCACAAACAGAGGACCTCTGGAAGTCATTTAATCTACCCCTCCTTCCTATGTAGGAGAAATCCCTTCTATAGCAACTTTGAAATGTCCTTTACTGAGCTAATACATAGTGATTGATTAACTTCTCTGTTAAGAGGCAGCCAGGAGAACTCTACTATTTATAGGGAACCCACTTCTGTATTGTTAATTCATGGTTCTTTTTTAATCATATGGAATAAATCTAATCCGTCTTCTTATACTCCAAAACAACTGTCTTCCCCATCCTAATGAGTGTTGTATTTCTTCTAGATTCAACCTTCTCATTTCCTTCAGTAATTAGATTTCCATTCCATTCCTTCAACAGATATTTATTGACCATCTATCCCATGCCAGACATTTTGGTACTCAATACTGGTTGTACAGGAAAGGGAATATCACAGTCTAGGAGAAAGCCATTTCTAAAATGAACAGTTTCTCATAATGAGGGATATATAATTGATGGGCATATAAAGTGGTGTGGAAGCCTGAAGTAGAAAGTAATGAATCTTGGAGATTCTTATAGATTTGGTCATTGAGTTGGTTCCTGAAGAATTTTCATGAGCTTGCCATGCTAAGAATGAAGGGAAGGGAAAAGCCATGAATGTGACTTTGTCTAGGACTGGGAATCAGTTGTGGCTGGAGAGTCAGATGCAAATTAGGAAGTAGTAGTTGGTAAAGGCTAGATCATGAAAGGTTAAGGATGCCACAGAGGAAGTCTGAACATTGAAGGATAGGAAGTAACTGAGAATTTTAGCAAGTAGATAATAAGACTTGATTTGCTTTGTTTTAGAAAGGTGTTAAGGTGGAGGATGGTTAGGGAACAGTTATGCTGGACACTTGGAAAGGAATTGGATTACTACAGAAATTCAGATGAGAGAAAAATGAGGGTCTCAGCTAGCAACAGGGATGGAGAGAAGAGGAAGAGATCATTTAAGAAATACTGCTGGAGCTGGGGATATAGCTCAGTTGGTAGAGTGCTTGTCTTGCATGTACAATGCCCTAGGTTCAATCCCCAGTACCACAAAAAAAAAAAAAGAAAGAAAGACTGCCGGGCACAGTAGTGCATGCCTGTAATCCCAGTGACTCAGGAAGCTAAAACAGGAGGATTGCAAGTTTGAGACCAGCCCCAACAAGTTAGCGAGGCCCTAGCAACTTAGTGAGACCCTGTCTCAAAATAAAAAATAAAGTGGGCTAGGGATGTAACTCAGTGGTAAAGTGCCTCTGTGCCTCCAGTGCCCAAAAAAAAAAAAAAAAAAAAAAGGAAGAAAAGAGAAGAAGACTGATTTGTCTGATGACTAGAATAATTTATTCAATTGTGAAAGGTTTATTTGCTCCCACAGAGTAAACCTATATAAGGGTCAGGCCCTATAACTAAGATAGCCAAATATAACATGAAGCATTGATTTGTAAAAGGCACTGTATTACAGGTCAACATATCTCAAGCTGACATGCAGGCCATTGGTAACACCATCACAATGGTAACGCAGGATGGCACACCCATCACAGTCCCTGCTCATGACGCAGTCATCTCTTCAGCAGGAACACACTCTGTTGCTATGGTCACCGCCGAGGGTACAGAAGGGCAGCAGGTAATTACCTTTGTCTGTTATATCAGTCAATACATATATCCATTTCAAAACTGTTGCACATATGAAAAAAATCTGTTACACAATTTTATATATATGACAGTGGTTAGGCACAAAAACTTCAAATTGAATCCAGTTTTGGAATTTCTTAGCTAATTAACCCTCAGAGTCTGTTTTTTTGTTCATCTTTAATTAGGAGTGATAGTTCTATCTGCTCCATAAGATCAATATAAGGATTAAATGAGATAATACATGTAAAGTATTCAGCCCAGCTGTATATTAAGTGTTCCTTACTGGTAGTTCTTATCACCATCATCATCATCATATACTCAAGAAATTAATTCATTTGCAAAATTTACTTATTTTTACTTTATTAAATTTTCTAGGTATTAATATACTCGCATAATTAAAAAAAAATAGGGACAGGGTAGAGCCAGTAGTAGAGCCCTTGCCTAGTATGCATGAGGCCCTGGGTTCCACCTCCAGCACTACACACACACACATACAAAAAAAAAAAAAGGACAAATATATATACAGGTGTAGTGAAAAGTCTCCTCCCATCCCTGCCTCTTATCTACTCAGTTTTTGCCCCTACAGATAATTCACTTTTATTAACCTTTGATGTGTTCTTCCAGTAATTCTTTAAGCATATACAAATAAATAGTTGTCTTCCCTTCTTCTTTTTTTTTTTTTTTTTAATGGCAGCAAATGATAAGTTAACACTAAGCTGGGCTTGATAGTGCACACCAGCAACTCAAGAGACTGAGGCAGGAGGATTGCAAGTTCACGGCCAGCTTGGGAAATTCAGTGAGACCCTGTCTCAAAATTAAAAATAATTTGTCTCTGAATCAAGGCTAGCAGTTTGTTGAAACAAATGTCTTTCTGTTGTCTGTTAACCATTTCAGAAATTTGGAAATGTAATGATCAATTCATTAGAAAGAAACATCTGAGTCATTGGAAATGGATGTGGGCTAAGACTTATTTGTGGTCTTAACACTGGGATTCCAAAATATCAATACAATATTTATCTCTATTTTCCTGATTTAATTGTTCATTAGAAGTATAATGCTCTTAAATCTATTAAAATAAATAAATAAATGCAAATAAAAAGGGTTGAGGCTGTAGCTTAGTGGTAGAATGTAATCCCTAGTTCCACAAAAAAATAAATAGACTCACATTTTTGTCCTGTTTTTATTATATCTATTAACACATTCTAATTCTACAAATCAATGAGTTTCAGTGTGTCATTTCCATACATGCATATATCATGCTTTTATTGTATCTACCTTCCCTACTATTCTCATCTTCTCTCTTCCTCTTCCCCCTTCTCTTCCTTAATAATCCCTCTTCTATTTACAGATTATTTATTTTTTCTTTTTAGTCTTCACATATGAGAGAAGACATGTAACAATACTTGTCCTTTTCTGTCTTGCTTATTTCACTTAACATGATGGTCTCCATTTCTATCCATTTTGCTACAAATGAGAGGATTTCATTCTTTTCTATGAGACTTTATTTTAAATACTCCATTGTGTATATATACATATTATTTTATCCATTCATCTATTGATTGGCACGTAGGTTGATTCTATGTCTTGGCTATAATAAATGGATATGCAGGGATCTCTCTTTTTTTTTTTTTAGAATTTTTAAAGATGTTGATGTGCCTTTATTTATTTATATTTTTTGTTTATATTTTTAGAGAGAAAAAAATTTTTTGAGAGAATTTTTTTTTTAATTTATTTTTTAGTTTTTGGTGGACACAACATCTTTATTTTTTATTTTATGTGGTACTAAGGATCAAACCCAGTGCCCCGCGCATGCCAGGTGAGCACGTTACCACTTGAGCCACATCCCCAGCCCAAGAGAGAGAATTTTTTAATATTTATTTTTTAGTTTTCAGTGGACACAACATCTTTATTTATTTTTTAATGTGGTGCTGAGGATCGAACTCAGCGCCCTGCACATGCCAGGCAAGCGCACTACCACTTGAGCCACATCCCCAGCCCCAATAAATATTCATTTATTTATATGTGGTTCTGAGACTCGAACCCAGTGCCTCACACATGCTAGGCAAGTGCTCTACCACTGAGCCACAACCCCAGTCCCGCAGGGGGATCTCTTTTGTATGCTGACTTCATTTCCTTCAGGTACATCCCCAAGAGTGGTATAGCTGAATAGTTTTCTGAGGAACTTCCATAGTGTTTTCAATAGTGGCTGTACTAATTGACATTCCCACCAACAGAAATGTATAAAGGTTCCTTTTTCTTCACGTTCTCACCAGCATTAGTTTGTTTTGTTTTGTTTTGTTTTGTTTGTAGGTACTGGGGATTGAACCCAGGGAGCTCTACCATTGAGTCATATCCTCAGCCCTTTTTATTTTTTATTTTCAGATAGGGTCTTGCTCAGTTTCCCATGCTGGCTTCAGCATACTTCCATTTACATTTCTCTGATGGCTAAAGATATTGAGCATTTTTTCACATTTATTAGCCATTTGTGTATCTTCTTTTGAGAACTGTCTATTCGGGTTATTTGTCCATTTATTGATTGGATTATTCTTTCATTATTAAATTTTTGAGGGTTTTTTTTTATATATTCTGGATATTAATCCTAAATTACATGAATACTAGCAAAGATGTTCTCCTATTCTGAAGATTGTCTCTTTACTCTGTTGATTGTTTCCTCTCATTTGCTGAAGCTTTTTAACTCAATGTAATTTGGTTTGTCAATTATTGCTTTTATTTCCTGGTCTGTTAGAGTCTTATTCAGTACTTCCTATGCCAGTATCTTGAAATGTTTCCCATATGTTTTTTTCCAATATCAGATTCAGGTGTTACATTAAGGCCTTTGATTCTTTTTTTCTTTTTTTTTTTTTTTTTTTTAATTTTAGAGACAGGGTCTTGCTGAGTAGCTGAGTTGCTTTGGGTCTCACTAAGTTGCTGAGGTCTGCTTTGAACTCTCCCATTCTCCTGCCTCAGCCTCTGGAGCTGCTGGGATGCCACCGTGCCCAGCCTTATGTTCATTTTAGGGTGAGAGATAGGCATCTAGTTTCAGTCTTCTACATGTGGATTTCCAGAGTTTTCCCAGCATCATTTGTTGAAGAGGCTATCTTTTTTCTAACATGCTTTTGGTAATTTTTTTGAGAAGCAGATGATTGTGGATGTGTGGGTTTATTTCTGGCTCCTTTTTTGTATTTTGGTTTACATGTCTGTTTTCTGTTTGTTTTGTTTTATAGTAGAGCTTGAACCCAGGGGTGCTTTACCACAAAACTGCATCCCTGACATTTTTTATTTTTTATTTTGAAACAGGATCTTACTAAGTTGCTTAGAGCTTCAGCCTCCTAAGTCACTGGTATTATAGGTGTGTGTCACTGCACCTGGTGGTACATATCTGTTTTTATGCCAAGACCATGCTGTTTTGGTTATTGTGACTCTAAAGTATATTTTGAAATAAGATATTATGATACCTCCAGCATTATCTTGTTTTGTGCTCAGGATTTCTTTGGCTCTTCAGAGTTTGTCCTTCCTTTAGGATTGATTTTTTTTTTTAATTTTCCTATGAAGAATGTAATTTAAAAAAAATTTTTTTAAAGTTTTTAGTTGTAGATGGATATACCTTTATTTTGTTTAGCATTTTGTTTTTT